TTTTTTAACCCCTGAAAGGCACCACGAGCCACCCGTCCTTTTATATGGGAGTTCCCCCGGGCTCTTTCATACATACTTGACTCATTTCTTTGTTTTTCATCTGCTTGATAACGTTAGAAGAAACAAAAGCAAAATGATGATCCCCAAGGCCACCAATCCAATGGCTACACATAGCAAAATGAGTGGAAGGAGACAGGAGGTAGTTACATCCACGGCACATTCTGTAAAATAAATCCTTATGTCAAAGAAAGATTGAAAGAACTAACAATTAACACACCGGGTATTTATTAGTCTCCCCTTACATTGTGAAACGAAAAGCCCAAAAGGGAATCTTGACTGATAAACACTTTAAACTTTCCAAGGTATTTTCAAAATGGAAAGTTTCTTAAGTTTTTTAAAGTGGGCGCGCACTTTAGGTTTCTTAAAGTGCACACTTTCTAAGTTTCTGTCCTTGTGTAAACTTAAAGAATTTAGGTAATGACCCGAGTTACTTAAGTACAGTTTGATGCAATTTAAAACTACATGAACCTCTATAAATAAATAAATAAATGAATGAGTAAATAAATAAGGTAATCTTGTGTCATTTAAGGTGCGTTTTTATATAAGGGACTTTGCTTAACTATGGTTATCTGATCTGCGTTAATTGTGAGAGGTTAAGGAGTCTGAAAAACTTGATTGTAATGTGCAAGTCTTCAGAATTGGCAAGTAACTTTATTACCTTGATTTATATGACTTATATAGTTTTCATGACCGAAAAAAAAAGAAATTAATGTAATTTTTTCTTTAACCTTCGTCTTGCATGTTCTGTGCATCTGCTTCACGTCCGGCTGGGCCAGCTAAGATAAAGAATAAAACAGAAAGATGTTTAGATCATTGTAATAAGGCTTGATATGTCGGAAACTAAAATAATTACGATTGCCTTGAAAATACAATGTTTGGAAAGGTTAGTTTTGAATAGTTTGTTGGACAGGTATTGTGACTGAGTAGAGTTTGTAAAGTGTTTGTTCGTTTAAGTAGTGCACTATTAGAGTAATGAAAGAAAGACCGAAAATGCGGCAGCTAGTGGGAGACTTGAATTCGCATGTTCGTTTTAGATTTAATAATCTGCGAGCATTCGAGCAAGCTTTTAGAATAAAGCCTACCAGCAACGTTAAATCTGCACAAAAGCCAAGTGGCCCATCCGGCCGTGGCTTGTCTCTGTTTTCTGTAGCACGAAGCGACTAGGAGTTTTTCTACTCCCCCCTGGATGGGATGCTAGTCCATCGCGGGGTTACCCCCAGCATTAGGCTGATTTAGCAACAGGACGAGAACGTCAGATGACGACTGCAGGGCGCGCGGAATAACCTGGATTCTGTTCTAATTTGACCATATTTGGGTATTTGNCTTGCTGAATCAGCTTAATTCGCCGGTACCCATTTGCACGCATGGGTAGAGAGAGACACTGAGGAAGTGAAGTGTCTTGCACAAGAACACAACACAATGTCCCCGGCCAGAGCTCGAACTCGGACCGCTCGATCCGGAGTCGAAGCGCATTAACCGTGAGGCCACTGCGCCTTCACAAGGTTCAAAGCTTTTCAACTCTTTAGCATTGAGAGTTCATATAATCAAAAATTAAAATATCAAAGAATGAAATGAGTTTTCCGATTTAGAGAAAATTTACAAGGAACATCGACTTCTGTTAATTAAAACCGATTCTGTTGAAAAAAGCGAAAAGCGAAAACTCACTGTTGTTGGCGATGGTTATCGTGACAGTGCCTTGCGTGACGGTGGTAACGCCATCATCCTTAGATGCCATGGAGATCGTAAAGTTCTCATCATCTTCAGTAAAGTCGTCACTTAAGATCGGAACATCGATGCTGAGATAAACTTCTCCTGGCTTGAAAACCAAGTCGTCACTGGACGCGAAGGTGAAATCCTTGTTTAATTTAGCGTTTCCATCTGAAGCGCTGAAACTACAGAACAGAAAATCACATCAAAGAAATGTAATGAAAACATTGTTATCTGAATGGTCAATCGGGAAGAAATGTGAAATTTCGTTCATGCCAAACCAGTGGATGATTTTCTTAGATAGAGAATTTAATTCAGTTCCTGGTTTGCTCACCCACACCGGAAAAAATGGTTTCTTTTATTGTTTAGCATAAGTGTACTAGCGTTCTATCACGAATTCTGTCCTCTGATTGGCTATGCTACTCACTATCTATTCTGTGAAAGACAGTGAGTAGCGTAGCAGTGTGCGCTTGTCAACAAAATGGTGGTCACTTCTTTGCATTTTCGAAGTGTCTGTGAAGATGATTTAGATAAAGCCGTTTGAACAACTCGATCTTGGATTTATACTAAAACAATAAGATCATTTGCTCTCTATTTCTATGCGCCCTCGTCAACTTCCACGCGATAGAAATCTCGAGAAGTAGTCTAATTGTTAAATATATTCAGAAAGAAATTCTAGGAATTTTGATCTCAGTGAAACAACAAACATATTACGTCAAAACGTTTTCAAAAACAGTTCAAAATATTTTAGTAATTTAGCTGTTAGACTGGGAGTTGGCGAAAGCCATTGATCGGCTAAAGGCGTTTAGTCTCGTTGGCTGTACAGTGGTCCAGGAGCGGATCTAGAAAGAGGATGCAGGGCGTGCGCACCCTCCTCCCCCCTGAGATGAAGTCTTCTCCCTATTCGCTTTTGAAATTTGTTTATTTTACCAGTCAGTTACACTATTTCTTAGCGGTGCACCCCTCCTAAGAAAAATCCTGGATCTGCCCCTGTGGTCATCTAAAGTTCGACAGACGGCACCAGGGCTTGTGAATCTTTCAAAATTGCCTCTCGATGTCATTAATAACTCATCTAGTTTAAACAAAAGAAATTGTAACCGTGACGGTGTTTCCTAGTTTCGATTGAGGAGAGATCGTAAACACTCGAGACACTGTTTTATCACAATTTCGTAAAAAATTATACGATGTACGATGCGCGTCGTATGTTGAACACTATTTGTGTTAGAAATTAAGGTTAGAAGACACAGTCTTTTATTTGATGTAATACTTCAACTTCGCGGTTTCGTAAAGTTTCTGAATAAAAAACTTTTTGATTCATAGACCGGTCGGTAGGTTTTGCTAAAACTATTTTAAGCAGTTCGCTCTCGGGTTTTATCGGCTCAGCTAATAAAAACCTCGAGTTTGCTGCTATTGTAATTCTTAAATAGTAGTTGCTTGTTTAACCAATCAGATAGCGAGTCTGACGATCGCAAACACTAATTAAAGTGAATTGTTGTTCGTTTCTGTTACGTTATTGTTCGTTATTAATTTGTCTAACCTGACTACTGACGCAATTTCCATATTGCCGCTCCTCGTGGCTAGAAGTTCAACGCTCTCAACATCTTCCTCCACACTTACTGAAGTGATTGTAAATTTCACTTCAACTTGATTGGCTTGCAACGCTAAAAGAAGAAAGCTATAGTTATTAAATAAGGCAAGTATATATATATGAGCCACTTTCACTCTTCAGTTACAGTAAGACAACGGTTATACATTACTAATCAACAATTAGATTATGAGCTCGAGATTTCTATCGAGTCTGATAGTTGACGAGGACGCAACCCGAGTCAGCTATCACGTATAGAAATTCGAGAGCGAATAATCTAATTGTGTTAGTATAAATCTACTAGTCGTTTAAAACTTTATCTCAATCCTCTTCACGGACACTTGAAAACTCTCGAGAAGCGGTCGCCAGTTCGTTAACAAGGGCACACTGCTACGCTACTCACTATCTACAACAGAATATATAGTGAGTAGCGAAGCCAATCAGCGAACGGCATTCGTGATAGAACACATGATACAGACTGTATTACTGTATTCTGAAAAATAAGCCCTGGGATCTTTTTTCCCTCTTCTTAAAGACATAGTGGTCCCCCCCAGGGAAAGCAGGAACAGAAGTACCTCGACTGATGGTGTCATCCGACAGGTTTTGAACCTGCTCCGCGCTTAGAGCTCCTTTGAAGAACTGAAACCAACTGAGGGACAACCTTGCGTTCAGTTGATCGTCGCCAATGGTGTATTCATAAGGCTCGGCATCTGGCAGTTCTGGAATTAAAGGATTTTCGTAGAGATCAGCAGGTACCCTAGAGCCATTCAAATAGATCTCCGTTTCCAGTTCATGCGGTTCGCGGTACACAACAACTGCGTGAGTCCAATGGTCCATTGTGGGGATATTGCTGACGCGCGCGCCGTCTGTGACATTGTCGTGCTTTCCAACGATGGCGTGTAGGGACACGTCGTCGGCGATTTGAAAGAAATGTATGTCAACAGGATTGCTGCTTGCTCGAAGCTCTCTTTCAGGATTGGTCATGAACACTCGAATTGCCTCACCCTGGGGAAGAGGATAGATGAATTTGAAAAGAAACGAGATTGTGAAGTTTGGACAAGCTGAAACGTCACCGAGAGTTGCATCGAGGTTACCAAGAACGATTCTGTTTGTCGCACCAGCTTCACTCTGGAACAAAAACACACCGTGTATTCCATCGTCTTTCCTCACTACAACATTACCCTCAATGGCTTCAGGAAAGTAGGACTCGTTAGTTTTTGGTCTGTATCCATAGATCTGGCCGTTCCACATAGGATACAGGTAAAAGGTAAACTCTGTAAATTGAAAATTAAACATATGTTAGTACTATCCATAAAGAGAAATGATGTACATAAAAGCACACTGAATTAGCGCCATAGATTAAATACCAGTGGCGGATCTAGGGAAGGGGCCCGGGGGACCCGGCTCCCCTTATTTTGGGTAAAAAAAGAAAAATCGCGGAAGGAATAAAAGCCGGCGGGGCAAGCAAAGAGCNCCCCGTTAGCTCAAGGTCTGGACCTGAATACACCTTTTTTTCTGCTATTAGATTGTTTCTTTTTCCGGCCGATGCTGAATATTCCTATTTTCTGCCGATTTTAAGTTGAAAATATTCATGTGAATATTTTTAGACTATAGCGTGGGACATTTCTGTTTTCGCCGAATGCATTTGGTGCCTGGATGGTCTAAAAGAAATTTTGGAGTCAGCCTGCAGGCATTAAAACCTGATATGACCTACATAACCTCTTGCAGAAAGCTTGTTAGCATCGAACATACGACTAGTGCTGTTTTTGTTGCTTTTTGGCTAGTTTTGCAATTCAGAGAAAGGAAGAACTTTATACGGTCTACTTAAAAACACATAATTGTATTATATTTAAAAATTTTCAACACACAAAATGATTCTTTTTCCATCATCACCAAAATCTCTATAAATAAATGACTTTATTTGGGTGTAATGGTATTTAGCACTGCTGTGCACACTACGCCGGAGAGGGTACGCATAAAATGTTTTCCGTTCACACTACACCGGAGAAATTTGAAAACGCAACAATCACCGGTCATTTTGGATTTGTGTTTGAGGAAAACTCGGTCAGGGAAATCACGTGATTATCGTGACGTCATCGTTTTCGAAAAGCTCCGTTTTCGAAATGTTTTCCGTCCACACTATCACATGCAAGGCCCGGCGTTGCCAAATTCCTCCGGTTTGAAGAGCGTTTTCGAAAAGTTCCGTTTTTGTGACAGATTAGTGTGGACGGTAGGCCCAGCCGTAGAAATATAGCTGCGTTTTCAAATTTTTCCGACGCACTGTGGACAGGGCCTCACCTTCAAGGTAGGATCTTGGATCATTAACGAGCCTGAGTTATAATTGTTAATGTTGTTATTTTGAAGTATTTATTTGCATATTTTTATTATATGCGCAATAACGCCTAAGATTTTAAACTTAAATCGTACCATTACAAAGGACTAATTGGTCTTTAACACAGAGGTGATACTTGGTCCAACGAAGTTTCGAGAGTTTGGCATTGTTTGGAGTTGCCATATCCAAAATAAATAACATAACCTAATATCGTTCCTCGTAAAGAACTCACTAGAAATGTATAAACAAAAATGCTGTAATTATACATAACTTGGAGTTAACCATCCAAGGCAAAAATGTCTTTATTCTTGGGGTCTTTGATGCTCAGTTTAATGTCAAGTAAATAGATGTGTTTTAGTGTGTCCTGTGTATTAAATAAACTGACTTAAATTTCACCTGATTCAGGAAATATTGATTGTCTACATTTCCAATGGTTGTTATCGTCAACTCAGCATGCACGAGTTTTGAAGACGAAGTCATTAATATTCTGAATCGTCTGAACACAGTAAAAATGAAATGAATGTTTCTCGTTTTTTCCACTGATTCCAGGCACAGCTCGTCGAAATTCATTCTCATCTACAGTATCAACGAATATACTCTCCTCAGATGTGAAATACGGGTAATATTTACCCAAACAAACTGAGTACTGAGTAAGTTATAAATCTTGTTTGCGAGTTTCGATTCAAGCTATTGTTGCGTGAAAAGGGTTAAAAAACATGCACAAGATGTGGTTCAATGTGTCGCCGGAAAAAAAAAGCCTAATTTGTTCCATTGTCTTCGATTTACGTGACAGAGTTGGCATATCTCGCGTAGAGTGTTCAATCCCTAATGCTATGTGAAAAACGTCGAGAGTCTGTAATCTCGTAAATGCATCGTTTTGAACAAAGGAAAATTAGACAACAGGAGAAAGAAAGGCTAAAAGATTTTTTGCGAAACAACGCCAAGATCATGGTTACACTGGTGATGGAAAAGTTAAATAACTTATTTCCATGAAGCTACACACCGTCTAAGTAGGTAATCTTGTGTAACTTGGTTTATCTAACCTGTGTTTTTCTAGTTATTTAACCCGGATGGAAGTTGTTAAATCGGTTGTTGTCTTCTTTGATAAGTAAATATAACTTGCTGTGACTTACCGGACTGCGGCGGTAAAGCGATGGTCAACGATGATGTCACGAGAAACAGGTAAATACGGCTAGTTATTGACTTCATCGTGTATTAGCAAGGTGTTTCCGACACTTTCGTGTTCAGCTGGACCCCCACATTCTTGTTAGTTTTCACTTGCAAAAAATGCAAATTTTCGTTACTGCGGCTAGGTGAAGATCATGGGAAGAAATAAAAGAAACCACGCTGCGAAACCCCACTTGGACAAGCCAATTACGTGATGTCACAAAAGTTTTGCTACGAGTAGATGAGCACGCCAACCGGGCATAGATGAAAGTTCATATCAGTCGTCCGGAAAAACAAGAAATTGCCTGCATTGTCGTATGAAAGAAATTTACCAACTGTCCTAGAAAAGTATAGTTGTGCTTCGAGTGGTTACTGTTTGTCATGAATGGCTAGCCAACAGGGAAAGAAGCGAAGAAGCGAGACAGATCTAAGATTTGCATGACATTTCTTTTGTTTACAGCTGACAGCTGTAAGATTCTTTCGTCATTCAGTGTGTACTATATAAAGTACATGATAACGCCTTGAGACAGCGCATTACCAGTTTCTCACGTTTTCCTGGTTCATTGCAGTGTCATTAGTAAACCAGATGCATAAATAACGACTTGCAAATTACAGAGCACACCGTAAAATTGAAAGTGAAGAAGGTGGTGGTGGGGGGGTTCGGTTTGCAATGGCCTTTAAGCATCTTATTCTGTCGCTTTATACTCTAAACCTAGTGGGGATGAACAGAAAAGAAATCAGAAAAGAAATTTAAGCTTTTACTTTGTTTTACTAGTCCATTTGCAATCGTAGCTCCCTTCAGAGTCCGGTTTCTGTTTCACATTTCAAGTAACTGGGCGCTATTACTACTTCCCGGTAGGGTGTTGTCTTGAGTAAAAAAGGAATACCGTAAGTGAGGTAAAAGAAACCTGAAATGCGCTGGGTTGGCAGGCACGCGATTCTGGCCATTTTGATCAGCGGATTTCCAACTCAATATGGCGCAAGGAGGGAGTAAAGGAAAATTTGAAGAAATTATAAATTGTCAATAGAAATACTTCGATTAGTGACAATTAGCCACGACAGTTTCGTGAAGGGTCGCAGTCCCCTTAATTGAACCAGGTAAAGGTAAACGTCGGTCAAAGTGGTTCATCCGCCGGAGTTATCTCGGTTTCTGTATCATTTAGCGTCTAGGAGTATTCCTACTCCCCCCTGGATGGAATGCTAGTCCATCGCAGGATTACCCCCGCCGGTGCCTATTTATACACCTGGGTGGAGAGAGACAATGTAAGAGTAAAGTGTCTTGCCCAAGAACACAACAACAGTGTCCCCAGGCAGGGCTCGAGCCCGGACCGCTCGATCCGGAGACGAGCGCACTAACCATGGGCCCACCGCGCTCATTTGAATCATAACGACTATAATTCACAGTAAACTAGATTTATTTCATATACAAGGTGTAATACTCTCTCTTTAACATCTAACAATTCTTAATTAGTGACCTCAGCTACTATATAAGACAGTGGATACACATAACCGTCACTTAAAATGTACACATACATCTGATCTTTTTCGCCAACTCGTTTACGTAATATGCCTTACAAAGGCGTTGTTTCGTTAGCTAGTCGTACAAAATTCCCAGTAAAACTACAAGTCTCCCAAATCGTTATGAAAACTTCCTGTACATTAAATTCTTATTTTTTAAACTGATTTAACGGTATTTCCTCATCACAGCTTGTATTTGCTGTACAGTAAAAAATATTTCCCTCATTCCAAAATTGTCGGGTTGTATTTCCATCGAGAGTTACGTGGTTCTTACAGGTTCTCATACTACCTAAAATATTTAAATCCTCACTTGAACCTTTTCAGTGCCACGCTCAAAACTGAAATTCTCCCTTCTACTGGCTATACTAATCTTCTTTCGTTAGTTGTGAGAATTTGACAATATCATGTTTATTCTCATCAGCGGTCTCTTCGACAATGCATTGCTTTGTAGGGAGAAACTATTTTTTGATCTCTCCTTATTAAGAGTTATAACCTGATAGACTACAGGTGAGTGAGGCAGAGCTCAAAGCTGCACTGCCTAAAGCCATAATTGCCCCATCACAGGTAGATACCTTTTATTATTGTCCATTCACCCTTCCCTCCCCACCCCATCCCACCCCACTCATCCCCCGCACCCCTCCTCCCTAAAAGAAATCCATTAAACACGATCAAATCGGCTAAACGATACACTAAAAGGAATTTTAATTTTCTATCCCTGGGAATTACAGGACGTTGTCCACTCGGGGCATGCCAGCGTCCTTTTACCCGAGGGGTTACCGAATATACGAACATATCGGGCGAATAAAGAACTGCCCTTTCAACCTCGTTCCCGGGGCCTCTCATTTTCCCAATACGGAGAGCGAGAAGGAGGTAGAACCTGGGAACTAGGTTGCTGTCCTATTCCTTATGTTTAAATATAAATCGCTACAAAATTTTAACCTATTAAAATAAATACATGATATACCGATTGCAATACCCACTCGAAATTCACTAGTGAATACGCGCTTATTTGAAACTGTACAATTCATAAATTACTTGTGAGTTAATGTACTATTCTGGTCTCATTCAAGCTTAGAGCCTTCAACAATTGTGTTCAAACAAAATCGTACATACAGTGGATCCTTGTTTAAAATAACAGATTCATTAGCATAAACGATTCAGTTTGTGATGGAGCTACATAAATATTAGCTGTCAATATTGAAAGGGCACAGTACGATTAACTGTCCCAGGGAATTTGAGCTCGATGTACTGAAAACATTTTATGTGACACGAATTTAAAAAACACAAAATTTTCAATGTGTGGGTTCATTGGCACTTTTGCTATCCAGACATTTTGCAGTTTTGAAAGCCAATATTTCCCTCAATAGTACATCCAAAGAGCTAAACATTTCACAAACACTCTACCCGCTTAGAGTCAATTCATATGTACCATGATGCCTTCTCTACGCAAAATCGTATGCCAATAAAGCTAAGTGCATTTGCCGAAGTGTTACTGATTTAGAACACTCAGAATACACATGAAACGAGCCCGCTAATTTCCTGAAATTCACACTGAAAATGAATGGGAACTTTTTGAACAATTTTTAGAGGACAAAAAGTTCAGCTCAGGACTTAAAATTGACTTTTTTAAGAGGCCAAACAATTCGGAATAAAAAAATCCAACAAGAACACGTGATTGTAGTTTCTCGTGTCACAAAAGTTAAATTCGCCTCAGTCCATGTGGATTTGGCCAAATTTTGCATCAAAGCATTTTAAGCTGAAAGGATCGACTATTCAGTGATATCATGCACCTCTAAACTTATCTAAAAAAAATCATATCGCATGCATTTAAATTAACACTGCTAAGGTCAGGAAGATAAAATAGTCGAAATGGCTAAATAACACTTGTACTTTTATAGGTTCTAATCAGTGTTGAGGATCTCGGCTACTGAACAAAACATATTTCATTGTGTCCTCAAGGTGAAAGATTCTTTGGCTTGAAAATACATCTTGTCCGATATCCAAGTTAAAAATTTTTCAATTATATGGTCCACCAATCTTGCCTCATACGTAATATTGACACCCAAGCATCCTCTCTAAAATAAAATATTTGATCGCCTCTTCCATTCGTTCTTTCGACGATTGTCACGTGTTTGTTTTCTCATGACCACGGGACTTTGTGAAGGACTGTTGTTTTCCTTCAAGCCTTTCTGACCAGCGTTTGACTCCCGTTTGACCGAGTCGATGGGAAATACTTTCTCTGGTCTCACAAATGAACCGTACCTCGGCTTGCAGGCGAAATACCGCTGGCCGCTCACTGAGCCATCGTTCTTTCCTGGTTTGACGGAGGGAGGGAGGAAAAAGCACACATTTTATAGACGCAATTCATTCAATAATACTGTAGTTTTATTACAAATTAAAATGCTAGGACACTGATCTCGGCACGAGTTATGCAAGATGTTTGAATCTTGAAGGAACTACGTCACGGTTTCGCTTCTTAAAAAGTTTCGCCTAGATATTTCAAGTTCGTCGTTTGTAATCCGTGTAAATCTTCTCCATCCTTTATCATCCTTGTTCCTTTATGGTTTATTATCATCTCTTTGGTGTTGTTTTATCTTAGGAAACTACCATTTTCAGGTTTCCTTCAGTTTAAAGGAAATCTTGAATGTGGCCAAAATAACTCAAAATACCGTGACTAAGCTCCTAAAACCTTTAAACAGTCTCAACAGTCTAGATCTGAAGTAAATTATTCACAAAGTACTGGCACGAAATTGATGAAACGTAAGCTGAAACAATACACAGAGTTGTCACTAGTTCATCCTCTCCCTGGTATTTGCGAATATTTTAGTTCAGATAGAGACTAATGCCCCATTCACACCAACTAAACTAGTTTAACTAGTTTAGTTCAGGTTTAGGTTTTTCCAATAGGTCGATTCCGCTTTGAAGTCATTTCGAGACGACAAAAATTCAAACCTTTCAATCAAACAAGTTTCCCTCTTGTAAAGTTGTGGGGTGCGTACGGTATGAACAACTAATTTTTAACCTTGTTTATATTAATTTGACCACTTTCGAACATATTTTTAAATTAGTTGATGTGAACAGGGTATAGCTCTGCATAGAGGCGTCTGCAGTCTTTCTGTTCAGCGGTCTTGCCTAACTCGAAACTTGAGTAAGTAACGGCTGTGACAGCCCTAGTCACGTTCAATGCCACGGAAATTCGTGCCAAGTTTTCTTTGTTTTCGAAAAATACATACTCTGGTCACGTTTTAAACATCCGGAAGAATGCGTGACATACTCCAACCACGATCCGATGTCACGATCAACCTACCCTGTGACCATTTCAAGCGCTATAAGCATTCTTTTCTTATTTCCTAGTGAAACTGGCCGTAATTTTGCAGATGATTTTGGAAGGGCCAAAACAAACAAGCAAGGCCACAGAAAAAGGTAAAAAAGCTGTTACTCACACAAACAACAACAACAACAAAAAACAACAACAACAACAATCTCTCACCTGAAGGCGTGTCTAGCTCAACACCAATCCACACGCCAGGAGCAAACTCTGTCGGTCCAATGTACCTGATCCTACCAGTTTTCGTGTCTCCAACACAGATGACTTGTCCCATTTTCAAATCACCCAGCGAATCAAGCGAATTCACGTTCATGTCATCACCTTCGAAAGAACTCAACAGATCTTCCCGACTACTTGCGTTCGAGTTTCCCTGTGAGCCAGACAGTTGTTCCTCGTCGACAGGCTCGCGTTCATCTAGTTGTTGCTTCGTTGGTTCTTTCTCTTCTAGCGGACGTGTAAGAAGCGAAGATGTTTCGTCTTCGTCTTCTTCGTCGTCTAAAGGTCCATCTAGCCCGCGCAACGTTAGCCCCAAGCCTTGCTTCTTATTGTTCTTATTCTCAAAAGTCAAATCAATCAGGTTCCCTTCGCGACTAATCGATTCCATCTCGCTTGATTCCGCTGGCGGCGTCGATAAATCTTCGCCCGACGGCGTCGGCGTCAAGGGATCTTCGTACTTTAACGTATCGGCGCTTCCCGAACGTTCCCGAAGATCTTCCGACAGAGGACTAATTGTTCCGTCGGAAGGCTCTTGGGATACCTCTTGAAAGTCGAACAAACTCGCGGGATTTCTCCGGACGAGAGGGCTTGGTGAAGGCGTGGATTCGTCTTCTTCCAGAGTCTCCAGCTCCATCAGGAGAGAGCTGGGGCGAGAGTTGGATGATCCCCCCGAGTTGCGCAACACGACTCCAGAGGTGTTAGGTGAGGAGCTCACTGGCTCGCTGAGTTGAGAAAGATCAAGTAACATCTCTTCTTTAGTCTGTCTTATTGGCCGGGGATCTGTGAAACTTCCCGGTAATACAAAATCACTTCTGTTGTTGGCCTGTCAAAAAGGAAACACATAGAAAGGTTTTTCATTTTCCTTTTAGTCCAAAACTAGGAGTGTCAATTCTCCTTACCAACTGGGTTCTCTTTCATAAAATGCACGTTTTGAGAATTTTTTTTTATGAACGCAAAGCTATATCCATATTTATAATTATCTGTAAGTAGCATCAGCAATCGTATTATACTGTAAGTAGCGTAAGTATTAGTGTCGCAAGTAGAATAAGTAATCGTATAGTACTGTAGAGTTAGTTATCCAAATTGTAGTATTGTAAATAGCATCGTATCGTATTGAAAGTCGCGTAAGTAGTGTGTTAGTTAAATCGCATTGTATAACAAGTGCTGTTAGTGGTTGTATTACTGTTGTAAATTGTGTAAGTAGCCATACCAGTGTTGTAAGTAGTGTGAATCCCAATTAAAATGTAAAGAAAAAAAAACAGGTTTGAGAATTTTGTAGTAAATCAAGATAGAAGGAGACCAGAAAGCGATTATGAGAAACCTTAATTTCATTCACAAACCAGATCCAGCAAAAAGGGAAGACGACTGGAGGTAAAACGTCAGATCTCGTTTGGTTGTCACTTTCGCAAGCGCTCTTCTTAAATTTAAATCTCCTTAAATTTCCATGACGGTCCACACGAGATTTCTCTCCTTTGAATGAGCTACGTCACGGTTTCCGCATCTTGAAATAGGTTAGCCTAATTTTTTCACGTAAGTCGTTTGTAATCCGCGTCAATCTTCTCCATCCTCAACCATCCTTGCTCCTTTACGGTTTACTATTATCCGTTTGATGTTTTTCAATCTTTGTGAACTATTATTTCCAGGTTTCCTTCAATTTAAAGGTAAATTTTTCCGTGACTAAAGCAACTCAAAATGTCATGACTAAGTTCTTTTAAACAAGCAAATGACGTCAACTCTGAGCTGTTCTGACCAAGGCGCTGATAATAATAAACGATCCTTGAAGAAACAGACGTCGAACTCTCCATTGTTTAGTCCAGGTAAAAGTTTCTTATTCGCAATATAGACCGCTCGATCCGGAGACGAGCGCACTAACCATGGGCCCACCGCGCTCATTTGAATCATAACGACTATAATTCACAGTAAACTAGATTTATTTCATATACAAGGTGTAATACTCTCTCTTTAACATCTAACAATTCTTAATTAGTGACCTCAGCTACTATATAAGACAGTGGATACACATAACCGTCACTTAAAATGTACACATACATCTGATCTTTTTCGCCAACTCGTTTACGTAATATGCCTTACAAAGGCGTTGTTTCGTTAGCTAGTCGTACAAAATTCCCAGTAAAACTACAAGTCTCCCAAATCGTTATGAAAACTTCCTGTACATTAAATTCTTATTTTTTAAACTGATTTAACGGTATTTCCTCATCACAGCTTGTATTTGCTGTACAGTAAAAAATATTTCCCTCATTCCAAAATTGTCGGGTTGTATTTCCATCGAGAGTTACGTGGTTCTTACAGGTTCTCATACTACCTAAAATATTTAAATCCTCACTTGAACCTTTTCAGTGCCACGCTCAAAACTGAAATTCTCCCTTCTACTGGCTATACTAATCTTCTTTCGTTAGTTGTGAGAATTTGACAATATCATGTTTATTCTCATCAGCGGTCTCTTCGACAATGCATTGCTTTGTAGGGAGAAACTATTTTTTGATCTCTCCTTATTAAGAGTTATAACCTGATAGACTACAGGTGAGTGAGGCAGAGCTCAAAGCTGCACTGCCTAAAGCCATAATTGCCCCATCACAGGTAGATACCTTTTATTATTGTCCATTCACCCTTCCCTCCCCACCCCATCCCACCCCACTCATCCCCCGCACCCCTCCTCCCTAAAAGAAATCCATTAAACACGATCAAATCGGCTAAACGATACACTAAAAGGAATTTTAATTTTCTATCCCTGGGAATTACAGGACGTTGTCCACTCGGGGCATGCCAGCGTCCTTTTACCCGAGGGGTTACCGAATATACGAACATATCGGGCGAATAAAGAACTGCCCTTTCAACCTCGTTCCCGGGGCCTCTCATTTTCCCAATACGGAGAGCGAGAAGGAGGTAGAACCTGGGAACTAGGTTGCTGTCCTATTCCTTATGTTTAAATATAAATCGCTACAAAATTTTAACCTATTAAAATAAATACATGATATACCGATTGCAATACCCACTCGAAATTCACTAGTGAATACGCGCTTATTTGAAACTGTACAATTCATAAATTACTTGTGAGTTAATGTACTATTCTGGTCTCATTCAAGCTTAGAGCCTTCAACAATTGTGTTCAAACAAAATCGTACATACAGTGGATCCTTGTTTAAAATAACAGATTCATTAGCATAAACGATTCAGTTTGTGATGGAGCTACATAAATATTAGCTGTCAATATTGAAAGGGCACAGTACGATTAACTGTCCCAGGGAATTTGAGCTCGATGTACTGAAAACATTTTATGTGACACGAATTTAAAAAACACAAAATTTTCAATGTGTGGGTTCATTGGCACTTTTGCTATCCAGACATTTTGCAGTTTTGAAAGCCAATATTTCCCTCAATAGTACATCCAAAGAGCTAAACATTTCACAAACACTCTACCCGCTTAGAGTCAATTCATATGTACCATGATGCCTTCTCTACGCAAAATCGTATGCCAATAAAGCTAAGTGCATTTGCCGAAGTGTTACTGATTTAGAACACTCAGAATACACATGAAACGAGCCCGCTAATTTCCTGAAATTCACACTGAAAATGAATGGGAACTTTTTGAACAATTTTTAGAGGACAAAAAGTTCAGCTCAGGACTTAAAATTGACTTTTTTAAGAGGCCAAACAATTCGGAATAAAAAAATCCAACAAGAACACGTGATTGTAGTTTCTCGTGTCACAAAAGTTAAATTCGCCTCAGTCCATGTGGATTTGGCCAAATTTTGCATCAAAGCATTTTAAGCTGAAAGGATCGACTATTCAGTGATATCATGCACCTCTAAACTTATCTAAAAAAAATCATATCGCATGCATTTAAATTAACACTGCTAAGGTCAGGAAGATAAAATAGTCGAAATGGCTAAATAACACTTGTACTTTTATAGGTTCTAATCAGTGTTGAGGATCTCGGCTACTGAACAAAACATATTTCATTGTGTCCTCAAGGTGAAAGATTCTTTGGCTTGAAAATACATCTTGTCCGATATCCAAGTTAAAAATTTTTCAATTATATGGTCCACCAATCTTGCCTCATACGTAATATTGACACCCAAGCATCCTCTCTAAAATAAAATATTTGATCGCCTCTTCCATTCGTTCTTTCGACGATTGTCACGTGTTTGTTTTCTCATGACCACGGGACTTTGTGAAGGACTGTTGTTTTCCTTCAAGCCTTTCTGACCAGCGTTTGACTCCCGTTTGACCGAGTCGATGGGAAATACTTTCTCTGGTCTCACAAATGAACCGTACCTCGGCTTGCAGGCGAAATACCGCTGGCCGCTCACTGAGCCATCGTTCTTTCCTGGTTTGACGGAGGGAGGGAGGAAAAAGCACACATTTTATAGACGCAATTCATTCAATAATACTGTAGTTTTATTACAAATTAAAATGCTAGGACACTGATCTCGGCACGAGTTATGCAAGATGTTTGAATCTTGAAGGAACTACGTCACGGTTTCGCTTCTTAAAAAGTTTCGCCTAGATATTTCAAGTTCGTCGTTTGTAATCCGTGTAAATCTTCTCCATCCTTTATCATCCTTGTTCCTTTATGGTTTATTATCATCTCTTTGGTGTTGTTTTATCTTAGGAAACTACCATTTTCAGGTTTCCTTCAGTTTAAAGGAAATCTTGAATGTGGCCAAAATAACTCAAAATACCGTGACTAAGCTCCTAAAACCTTTAAACAGTCTCAACAGTCTAGATCTGAAGTAAATTATTCACAAAGTACTGGCACGAAATTGATGAAACGTAAGCTGAAACAATACACAGAGTTGTCACTAGTTCATCCTCTCCCTGGTATTTGCGAATATTTTAGTTCAGATAGAGACTAATGCCCCATTCACACCAACTAAACTAGTTTAACTAGTTTAGTTCAGGTTTAGGTTTTTCCAATAGGTCGATTCCGCTTTGAAGTCATTTCGAGACGACAAAAATTCAAACCTTTCAATCAAACAAGTTTCCCTCTTGTAAAGTTGTGGGGTGCGTACGGTATGAACAACTAATTTTTAACCTTGTTTATATTAATTTGACCACTTTCGAACATATTTTTAAATTAGTTGATGTGAACAGGGTATAGCTCTGCATAGAGGCGTCTGCAGTCTTTCTGTTCAGCGGTCTTGCCTAACTCGAAACTTGAGTAAGTAACGGCTGTGACAGCCCTAGTCACGTTCAATGCCACGGAAATTCGTGCCAAGTTTTCTTTGTTTTCGAAAAATACATACTCTGGTCACGTTTTAAACATCCGGAAGAATGCGTGACATACTCCAACCACGATCCGATGTCACGATCAACCTACCCTGTGACCATTTCAAGCGCTATAAGCATTCTTTTCTTATTTCCTAGTGAAACTGGCCGTAATTTTGCAGATGATTTTGGAAGGGCCAAAACAAACAAGCAAGGCCACAGAAAAAGGTAAAAAAGCTGTTACTCACACAAACAACAACAACAACAAAAAACAACAACAACAACAATCTCTCACCTGAAGGCGTGTCTAGCTCAACACCAATCCACACGCCAGGAGCAAACTCTGTCGGTCCAATGTACCTGATCCTACCAGTTTTCGTGTCTCCAACACAGATGACTTGTCCCATTTTCAAATCACCCAGCGAATCAAGCGAATTCACGTTCATGTCATCACCTTCGAAAGAACTCAACAGATCTTCCCGACTACTTGCGTTCGAGTTTCCCTGTGAGCCAGACAGTTGTTCCTCGTCGACAGGCTCGCGTTCATCTAGTTGTTGCTTCGTTGGTTCTTTCTCTTCTAGCGGACGTGTAAGAAGCGAAGATGTTTCGTCTTCGTCTTCTTCGTCGTCTAAAGGTCCATCTAGCCCGCGCAACGTTAGCCCCAAGCCTTGCTTCTTATTGTTCTTATTCTCAAAAGTCAAATCAATCAGGTTCCCTTCGCGACTAATCGATTCCATCTCGCTTGATTCCGCTGGCGGCGTCGATAAATCTTCGCCCGACGGCGTCGGCGTCAAGGGATCTTCGTACTTTAACGTATCGGCGCTTCCCGAACGTTCCCGAAGATCTTCCGACAGAGGACTAATTGTTCCGTCGGAAGGCTCTTGGGATACCTCTTGAAAGTCGAACAAACTCGCGGGATTTCTCCGGACGAGAGGGCTTGGTGAAGGCGTGGATTCGTCTTCTTCCAGAGTCTCCAGCTCCATCAGGAGAGAGCTGGGGCGAGAGTTGGATGATCCCCCCGAGTTGCGCAACACGACTCCAGAGGTGTTAGGTGAGGAGCTCACTGGCTCGCTGAGTTGAGAAAGATCAAGTAACATCTCTTCTTTAGTCTGTCTTATTGGCCGGGGATCTGTGAAACTTCCCGGTAATACAAAATCACTTCTGTTGTTGGCCTGTCAAAAAGGAAACACATAGAAAGGTTTTTCATTTTCCTTTTAGTCCAAAACTAGGAGTGTCAATTCTCCTTACCAACTGGGTTCTCTTTCATAAAATGCACGTTTTGAGAATTTTTTTTTATGAACGCAAAGCTATATCCATATTTATAATTATCTGTAAGTAGCATCAGCAATCGTATTATACTGTAAGTAGCGTAAGTATTAGTGTCGCAAGTAGAATAAGTAATCGTATAGTACTGTAGAGTTAGTTATCCAAATTGTAGTATTGTAAATAGCATCGTATCGTATTGAAAGTCGCGTAAGTAGTGTGTTAGTTAAATCGCATTGTATAACAAGTGCTGTTAGTGGTTGTATTACTGTTGTAAATTGTGTAAGTAGCCATACCAGTGTTGTAAGTAGTGTGAATCCCAATTAAAATGTAAAGAAAAAAAAACAGGTTTGAGAATTTTGTAGTAAATCAAGATAGAAGGAGACCAGAAAGCGATTATGAGAAACCTTAATTTCATTCACAAACCAGATCCAGCAAAAAGGGAAGACGACTGGAGGTAAAACGTCAGATCTCGTTTGGTTGTCACTTTCACAAGTGCTCTTCTTAAATTTAAATCTCCTTAAATTTCCATGACGGTCGACACGAGATTTCTCTCCTTTGAATGAGCTACGTCACGGTTTCCGCATCTTGAAATAGGTTAGCCTAATTTTTTCACGTAAGTCGTTTGTAATCCGCGTCAATCTTCTCCATCCTCAACCATCCTTGCTCCTTTACGGTTTACTATTATCCGTTTGATGTTTTTCAATCTTTGTGAACTATTATTTCCAGGTTTCCTTCAATTTAAAGGTAAATTTTTCCGTGACTAAAGCAACTCAAAATGTCATGACTAAGTTCTTTTAAACAAGCAAATGACGTCAACTCTGAGCTGTTCTGACCAAGGCGCTGATAATAATAAACGATCCTTGAAGAAACAGACGTCGAACTCTCCATTGTTTAGTCCAGGTAAAAGTTTCTTATTCGCAATATTAGCCAGCGCTTGTTTGCTCAGTACAAGACACTAAACTGGTCTGTCACTGCATAGTTTTCTTTGGTGGGATTTTGATATTCAGTACTTAAATTTACTTCCTACCCTTGAGGTCCAAAGTTTGTTGCTCTCCGGTGAATCAAACCGCCCGCTTCCACTTAACCCAAATGACAGGTCACCTGACTGTAGACACAGAAATGACAATGTTATTGCGTGACGTGTAACGCAACTGGAGAATATTGCTCACAGAGCAAACAAAACTTAAGCAAACTGAAAAAAGACACAAGATATCCACTTTAAGCAACTTCAATCACAAAGCGTCATTAAACACTGATCGCTAAAAATGATCCCTACAACATCTTACGAAACTAGAGAACCAAACTCGCTTACCGCAGCTGCTAAGTTTGGTGTGCTGGCGAATTTTCTCAGAGGTTTTCCGATAGCAGCTAGTTTCTCCTTCACCATAACTTCCTGTAAATTAAATACACATCTACATTTAGCTGGCTCATTTGGAATTGAACGCTGGCGTTACATCTTTTACTCAAAACGGAAAGCCAAACAATATAAACAGAAAACCTCAACGCAAAATTAATCAAATATTCAAAAATTCATCAAATACGTGCTTTTGCTTTCAATCCATTATCTGTCATTGGTAAACTTTGAACAGCATCAGTTTTTTTGCCTACCACAACGATGGATATTTATTTCAAGAGCAATATATATCAAGAATACTCTAAGTGGAGGTGGGTGGGGTGCCCTTAAACAGAAAAAATGTTAGTAATTATACCGAATATATGTTGCGTTGCGTTGTTCTTGAAAAATAAGAGTTGCGCCATTATAATAGGTGCATTTTTGATGTTGGACATCCATGTTCTTATTAACTGACACTTGTCAAAACAAGGTATCTGCTGACCAGTATCATTTAACTACATCGCGGGCTCAGGCTTAGAGCTCATCGAGTGGTTGAGTTTTTTTTTTTGAAGTTGACCGCTGACCAGATTCTGGTTTTCGATTTGGTTGCAGCCTTTAGCCACGTCATCACTCTGGAGGAGAAGGAACGAGAACTTGCAAAGGAAAAAGTTTGGGTATAGTATTGGTATTGGGTATAGTTTGTTAAAATGCAACTGGACAAAAATAGTGAGACCACATGCTGAACAATTTCACGCTTACAATTGATCATTTTTCTGATCCAAGAATAAACAAATGCTGTTGTTGTCTGATAGTTATAAATTACTGCAATCAGGAGCTCTGCATTTAAGTTTGGCTAAATCTATATGTTATATTACTCCAATTGTCCTACCTGTCTTAGTCGATCCAGTGCTAACAGACTCTCCACATGTGAGATTCCTTTGCTGTATTTCCTCAAAACTGATTCGTCTTCCTCCTCACCCTCCCCCACTGCTAACGCAGCCATTTGCGCCAGGCTCTCTCGTTCTTCTGTCTCCTCCCCAGGTTGCTGTGAGGCGAGCAAGCAAAGCAGGCAGATGTCAATGTGAGGGAGACCATTTGTAATCTTTCTCAATCTTTGCCAGTTTTAGCTATCCTTGTTCCAATTTGGTTTGTTACTTCATTTTTGGTGTTTTTCTACCTTAGAAAACTGTGAGTTTGTGTCTTCCTTCAACCTAATCGTAATTTATTTGCATATCACAAAAACACTAACCATGTGGTTGCCAACCTTTTGATAGAGTTGACTTCGCATACCACACTGAAATACTCTTCAAGAAGACAAGTGAGGCCATTTTTACCAGTACTAGTGAAAATGCCACGTGAAAACTGAGAAAGGTTCATTGTAACGTTTCAAACAAATTGTACAAAAAAAACGAAAACCCCATTTTTTCACAAAGCCTTCTACTCCAAACAATCAAAATGTCTCTAAACCCATGCAGTAAACGGCTCCTTACCCGTGGAATGTGTGACACAAGTTCATACGTCACGCCAGATCTCGTTATAATATCCTACAGCAAAAGGAATAAAACAGATGGAAAACACAAACAAAACCAAAAACAATACCAAGGAAACAAACAAATCTCAGTAATGACGTAAAAGCGAACGTTTTATTCCTTTCATCAAATATGCAAAACAGTAAGGCAGACAATAGGGAGTTTAAGAAAACCACGACAATTATTTTTTTGAATCTCTATTTTAAATTTATCTCTGTGTTCCAGATTCAGTTTCGTGATAGTTCTGACAGTGATAAACAAAGTAAATGACTTTAGAGTACCACGAGATCCCCAAATTGCTAACCGTTGTGTCAAATCTGTTCTCTAGCTTAAGAACTACTGTGCAATAAAAACTGTTGCTGGACTTTTGACATGTGTTTAGTGAATACCTTTGCAATTTTTCGTAATAGACTGTCTTTCCAGCTTTGTTTCTTGTATACTTTGACTGAAATTCGTTTCCGGAGGACAAGGTCCATGGCTATTGGGCTAGCAAGACGAACAATAACCTGCAATGAAGAAAAACACGACGATTAACGGACTTCCACCACCGATGATGCACCTTCAAAACAATTGCTCAAAATTTTCAAGTTTTCAACGCCGTTTCCTTTTGGTTCACCATCACTTCTGTAGTATTTTTCTCCCAAACTTAAGTGCTCAGGCTTTGATTTCAGGTAATTTAAAACACGGCAGAAATATTGGGTATGCCACGACATTGTTCTTTAGAAGTTACTACATCAATCCCAGCCCATCGTGGCTTATTACGATTGTCCAAGCTAAAGAAACCCATGAGAAAAATATTTTGCAGTTGTAGTAACCATTCCTTCGGAAAAGGCTTAGTGCTAAAGGTTTCACCATAAAATTAGTTTTAATCAAGTTCACTTCAAAGTCATTTTCCTGTGAAAGGTTTTGGTGCAGGTCCCGGTGTGGCAAAATCCCTTCTTCGGTAGGTTTCACAGTAAAATAAACCCACAGGATGTCAACAGAATTTTCGAAATAGATGTACAATGCATGCAGGATTATTTGTAGTGGCAGAAAAACTTCAGCAATGTCTTTACCTTTAAAATGAGATAGACACGCTCGTACGACTGTGTGACACGATTGAGGAACACCGAGTCGTGAATGGACGAGTCCCATAACACGGTAGCAGAGACCTACAGGTCAATAAAACACATATTTACCAACATAATATGGGATCACGTGTAATATATTATCTGGGTGTTAAGTATCTGAGATTTTTCCCGACCTTATTTTCACCTTCTATGGGGAAGGCATGCGACTGAGTAACGGTTCGTGTCAGCCCTTGGGGTAGTCCCATATCTTGGAGATGAACATCTCTCTGTTGGCCTTACAAAGAAGATTACTCTCTGGCTCCCTATGTTCAATTTCGACATGGTTATTCAAAAAGCTACCTCACGGCTTGCGCATCTTGAAATGCTTCGCCTAAATTCTTCAAGTTCGTCGTTTGCAATCCGTGTTAATCTTCTCCATCCTTTACAATCCTTGTTCCTTTATGGTTTATTATTATCTCTTTGGTATTTTTCTATCTTAGTAAACCACTATTTTTAGGTTTCCTTCAATTTAAAGGTAATTTTGTACGTGGCCAAAATAACTCAAAATACCGTGACAGGACATTTTCCAGTTGCCTTCTGCCGCGTTTAAATACAAGTCCTCGTGTAGAACATTCCAGATGAAAATGAACGTACAAACAAAACACATTTTTGCGCTGAATTGCTTTGCAAAGAGACATCGTTTTGACAGAGAGACAAAAGGCTACCCAGCAATGGTCTATTTCATACCTGTTTTTGATCGTAGTTTATGATCGGTAGTTCCATCATGTTGTCAGAGTTTTCGAATGTCAGGGTAGAGTCTACACCAGCTGGCCCTCCCTCTTCTATGCA